GCAGAGACAATGATGTGGAGAGATGGAGTGGCTGGGGACTTCAGACCCAGAGAGGGAGAGGGGCTATGTGCTGATGACCAGGGGGCAGGTTTGCAGGGTATATACCCTTTGGTTGGTTGAGGATACATGGAGGGGATTGTAACCATGGCAATGAAACAATATACGATAGGATGAATGTAAAACTAATGTTCTTCCATGTAAACTATCACATAATTCACAATAAAACATTTTTTTAAAAGTCTACGACTACATTAACAGTTGGCATATGCCATCTAGACTTTAAAGATCACATAAGATTAAAACTAGCCAAAAGGGTTTTCAAAATTTATTTCTAAGTTTTAGCAGACTGATTTGGTTTTACTAACCAATCTCCACAGTAAATCCAACAATAGACATAACACCATACATTCTTTAACACTATTAAAGTGTTGTTGTTAAATACCATCGAGTCAGTTGTATACAATAATAAAAACATATACTACGTATATCGTATATGTCCTATCTAATTGTTTTAATCAAGTAATTCTTATAATAACCTGTTCAAAACAGGCCATAAAAAGTTCTGAAAGTAGCAATAAGAAAACAGCACTCTCCAATCTTAACGGAATAAAGAAATAACAAAGCAGTAACTAAAAATCACAAAATCCAAAGTCAAAAGGTCTTTACTACTACCTGGCAAATTTTATTTTTTAATAAAAAAATGGAGTCCTGGTGTGGTGCTTTGGATTAATGCGCCAGACTGCAAAGCCATTTGAACGGCAAGGTCTGTGGTTCAAGCTCCGCAGTCACTCCTCGGAAACCCTATGTAAGGTCGCTATGGGTCAGAACCAACTCGATGGCACTTAACAACAACAACACTAAAAAATAACATTACAGACATATGTTATCACAGTTTAAAAAATTAATAATAATCAAAGAGTATATATCAGAAACTCCAGAATAATTAAAGCAGTGATCACATGAAAACATAAGTCTTAGGTACAGCAATAAAAAGAAAAGAAGAAAAATATATGAACTAAATTCCTAACTCAATATATTAGGGAAAGAAACAAACTGAAAAGCAAAGGGCAAGAAAGAAAATAATAGAGATAAAAGCAGAAAACAGAAAAACAGTACTACTGAAAAATAAAAATGTTAGTCCTTTAAGAGTAAAAGAAACCAACAAAATACACAAAAACTGCTGCCTAATCTAATCAAGGGAGAGAAAGCAGCAGAAATGTGTAAAGAAATGAGTGACAAATGGAAAATAATCAATGAAACAGGAAGCTGTTTTAAATCTTGTCTACTTCATATAAACTAGGAAAATAAATCTGAAAGCCTAATTAAAATGGATAACTTATGAGAATACAATGGTAAGTCAAAAAGTACTGCTATAGGAAAAATAATTAGTAAATCATAGGGTAATCTCTAAGAAAAATAATACACCTGCATATTAATTTTTTTAAAAAAAGAAGAAAATCAAAAAGGTTTAGTAAGCATTAAACAACAGAAATAAAAATGAAAAGAAAGTCCACAAAAGATACTTAGCATATAAAATTATGTGGAAAAAGAATCCAGCAGCACCACAAGAAAGCACACAGAAAAAAATGACAATAATCAATTTCATACCTATTGCTAATTATATTAAATGTAAATGGATTAAATGCACCAGTCAAGAGCCATAAAGAGCAGAATGAATAAGAAAACAGGATCCTTCAATATGCTTTCTACAAAAGACACATCAAACAGATGAAGACCACCTAAATGCCCATCAACAGAAGAATAGTTTTAAAAAAACTTTGGTACATTCACACAATGCAATACAACAAAACACTGAAGAATAATGATAAATCTGTGAAACATCTCACAACATGATTGAACCTGGAGAATATTTTATGCTTCATGAAATTACTCAATCACAAAAGGACAACATTATATAAGACCAATGTTGTAAAAAGCTTTAAAATGGTTTTCTTGCTAAAAGAAACAATCTATGATGGGAGGGTTATTCATGGGCTAGAGGGTAGACACATGTTAACATGGGTGACAGAGCAAGCAATATACAAGAAGAAGGAGGTTACCAGAGCAAAGATGAGGGTGGCCGGAGAAACGGAGAAATGCAATAGCTAAAGAGAACAAAGGTAAATGCTGTTAACTATTGGTACATAGAAGGGACTGCAACCATGTAGTAAAGTGTATGGTTTGTTGAATGTAGAACTGATGGCATGATCTGTAAACTTTCACTCAATTCACAATAAAAGGTAAAACACAAAAAAGGACTGCTACAAAATCATAGAAACCTTTAGCAAACAAAAATATCAAAATGTAAAGTTACTGTTTCTCAACATATCCTTCATCTATGTCTATACACTCTAACCCTTCCCCAAAGAATTCTGCACTCTTCAATTCACACCATGCCAGAACAGCAGTTTGGGCATCCTCAAGGGATTCAGCTCATATTCCTTTTCAATGTTCTTTGAGTTTGAGGAACAAAAAGAAGATTGAAGGGGGAAGATCAGGGTTGTACGGTAGATGGGGTAAAGGTTCCCAATGAAATTCTCCTAGTACAGTCCTGGCTACTCCTAAAGAATGAACAGGTGAATTGTGATGAAAAAATAAAGCCTCAGCACAACTTTCCAGGCCTTTTTCTCACTAATGCAGATTTCAATTGTCTTAAAACTTCATAATAAACTTCTCTGATCACTCTGTATCCTTAGAGAAAATCTTATCAAAATTACTGCTTTGGAATAAAAAGTTACCATAATGTTCTAAGCTGATCTCTCTGCCTTGAATGTAACTAGCTCAGCAGGTCCCCTTGGAAGCCAGTTTTGCTAGACCTTTTTTTGAAGGCACTCTAACAAGTAAGAGAGAACTTGTCTGCAGCCATCTACTGACGGCAGAGACATGTTTAAACACATTTTATTTGAAATAAACCTATGCATGCCTGAATAAGAACTCTATTAGCAACACTTCTCTATTCACGCTCATAAACCCTATACAGGTTTGCTGAGTCGGACCCAACTCATTGAAACTTAACAACAATTTATAAAATGATCTGAATAAAAAGAGAATGCTTAAACAGGTCACTCTACTTAAAAGAAACAAGCACTAGGTCAGATGGTGAACAGAATAATTCTACCAAACCACCACCAAAAGTAAAGATAATCTCAAAGCTATATAAATTGTTGTATATCAGAGAAAATTATCTATCATTTTTATTAAAAAAAAAAACACTGATTCTTACAATCTCACCAAGAGACCTTATGCACACATACACACACAAATAGCCCTCAATATCATATATAAATTAGAAGAAAAAATTCTAAGTATTAGAAAATAAAATGTAACATTACATTAAAAAATAAATAAAGAGACTTATTCCAGGAAT